CCAGCACCCGCAGCGCGCTCCCGTCGTTGGTCGGTAAGTAGCAGCAGCAACAGCAGCGCGCTCCCGTCGTTGGTCGGTAAGTAGCAGCAGCAACAGCAGCGCGCTCCCGTCGTTGGTCGGTAAGCAGCAGCAGCATCAGCAGCGCGCTCCCGTCGTTGGTCGGTAAGTAGCAGCAGCAACAGCAGCGCGCTCCCGTCATTCGTCGGTAAGTGACTGGAATGTCACGTGCTGCCAACGACAACTCCGATTGCCTCCATCGACCTTGTTAGAGGGTGGATACTACACGAGAAAGAAATTTATTATGGCGTCCTGGCTCATAATTAACGCACTTCTTGTCTATTTCTGTGTTCGTTTGTTTGGAAACCTATTTAGAAGCTGGTGAACACATACAATTGTGAGGACTGTCACAGGGCAGTAAATTACATTAATGGTTCTGTATACCAAACAGTCTGTTTTCCAACTATGTATAGAACTCGTACACACACGCATATGCACACACATGTGCACGCACATGCTCGCCAGTCAGTAGTTGAAAGGCTCTGGGGCAAAAAGCAAATATTTGTGTTTGTCTGAAGACATGGTTTAGTTTTGGGGACAATTCTGCATGTTATTGCCTAAGGTCGCATACAACAATATCAGGTTCATGTTACTGGCCACGGCAGGAATGAATTGCACTACTGCTACTAACATTTATCTACATATATTTACTTGCAGTACATTCCAACTCAGCGATGAGGAGGAAGATACGAAACGAGTAGTCCGTAGTGCAAAAGATAAAAGGTATGATTTTATGCTCTATAATATAGAATTGTGTACATACCTAGAACTAGAATCATAGAATTAATAGCTATAAGCATAGACTAAATGGGGAAAAAAATCTGTGGAGCGTAAACAGTTTTATCTTATAGTTATACACATAACTAGACATTGATTTTTTAATAATGTTTAATTTTGAACAAAGGTTTGAGGAGATGGAAACAATCATTAAACATGTAAGGAACCACAAGAAAATCAAAGACATGACAAAGTTGTTGGAAAGTGAGTAGAAATTTGTTTTAGGGATAATCTTGTCCAATAACTACAGTATGCGATCCGCCAAATGTCGCAAAGTGGGCTCATCCTTGCGATGAAGCAGACACTGGAACGTATACATGTATTAACATGAGCGAGGAGTAGTGAGTAATTGTTGCCTCTAGTAATGTGTCAAACCTATGTGCGCAACTAAGAGGTTACTGGGCTTACACACGCATTTTGCGAATCGATGCAACATAGGTTTCGAGACGCTCACAAAGGCGTACAAGAAAGCCAGCAGTGTGATCGACAAGGAGGGCATACCGAGGTTTTACATCAAATGCCTGACAGAACTGGAGGAGTTTATCAATGAGGTAAGGCCACCATTAAAAAATTGTTTGTTTTCACTTTACCTACTCGCCTCTCAGGGTACCGAGTAGGTAGGTAGGTGAAAAATCTTTTTTATTTTGTTTTGACAAGATGTGTGTATGTATATTGTATATTCTGTTTTGTGTATATGTTTTTGCGAAACGAAATAATTTTTGTTTTGTTTTAATCGGCCAATAAAATGTGTCGAGTAGCGGCGTTTTGGCGAGTCGGTCGATAAAGGGGAAACAAGCAATATTTTATCGTAGGCCTAAGCGAAGAAGCTTTCTGTTCCCGACGTCCACAACGCCGAAATCTACCGCGCTCGTCATCTTGAACGTATCGAGAAAATTTCGGGCATCGACAATCGCGGATGATTTACATCGTCGTCGCGTTAAAAAAAGGGGTCACAACGTCTCTACCTTGACTCGTAGAGAACGAACGATAGTAGTTGTCACGTCACCGTGATGCGACGAGTTCTTCTGTTACCACGGCAACACGTTTGTCGTTGCAGTGCTGGGAGGATCGAGACGGTCGCAAGGCGATGAGCAAGAACAACTCTAAGAGCCTCAGCTCGATGCGGCAGCGCGTTCGCAAGTACAACAGGGACTTTGAGGAGGCGATCACTGCATACAAGGAGGTGAGTTGGCACGCTCGCGCGCCGCCTACGCTGCAGCCGCTCGTAGCATGCGGCGAAAGGCGGGGCGAAGCGTTTGTGCGTGCTGGTGTGAGTGTGTGTGTGTGTGTGTGTGTGCGCGTGCGTGCGTGTGTGTTTGTGTGTGTGCGCATGCGTGCGTGTGTGTTGTGTGTGTGTGCGCATGCGTGCGTGTGTGTTGTGTGTGTGTGCGCATGCGTGCGTGTGTGTTGTGTGTGTGTGCGCATGCGTGCGTGTGTGTTGTG